TATTGCAGACACAGATACACATCGATCGAATGATGAACAATTCTATATGAAAATGAGAATAAAAACAATTAAAAGAAAGATAATCACATCTGTAGGAAATGGTTCTTCCTTTCCTGCCATCATAATTTATTTCATCCAATTTCCATTCTATATATGTCAGATCTTGCATAAATAGCTCCATTAATCTGCTTTTCTCTTTTGCATTCAGCATTAAACACGCATAAAAAAATGTGAGAGTACAATAATCTAAAAGTTTTAATTAATAAAGCCCTGAACACAGAAATACTGAGAACATTTCACTTTTACTCAGGTCACGGGATAAATAAAAAGAGAAGCAAGTTAGAACTACGGTGATAAATATTTGTAATGTGCGAATAGTCTGGGATGCAAAATTATGTAAAACAAACAAGTTCAAGTAGACTTTCGTAATTGTTATCCTTTTACGCTATTTGTTCAGATATCAAAGAGTATATTAAATTACATAATGCACGAGAGTCAGGCGCACTAAAAATGGTCGCACACAGATTCACTGTAATATGTTTGGAAGTAAAAAGTCGGATTTAGCATCCGATCTTCAGCTAGCAATTACAAACATATCATTAAGCGTTTCAAACACTACTGGACACCTCTAGAAAGTGTTCCTCGTTAGATCTCTCAACATCTCCTACCGTCAAACGATGCTTTTCATTCCATGAAAAAATGTCGAAATGTCAAATCTTATCTTGTTGGTTGAATGTGAAAACAGGAGACACATAAGCAGAAGAACAACGTTCTTCTATGGTGTTCGTTTACTAAGATCTTTGATAAACTGTCTTTGAGTATTGTTAACGCAGGAACATCTGAGCAATTATCCATTAAGACTTTTCAACTGCCTTTCATTCAAGGAAAGACATCACGCGCAAATAGATAAGCTTTGTTTCATTGAAAAGAAAAACTAATTGAAAATAGGAATAATTTATAATGGTGGATATTTTATTGCAATTCATAAGTCTCATTATTGGCAGTTTGTAATGATAAATAACGTGAATCGTATCGATTCACTAAGTCCATTGACTGTAAGTCGAATGAATGTCGTGTCGCGAATTTTATTTCATTCTGTTGTAGCCCGATCTTATTACTACAGAATTGATGCGTATTTTTACGATGAGTGCTTGCATATTTTCTATCGTAGTTTACAGAAGTAGTTGCTATAGCTTTTCAGGGGCTTTTCAGAAAAGTTTATCAGAATTTCTGTAGTTCATCGAGACTCTGTAATTTGATTTGCTTTCATGTGCTAGGACAGTTGGAATCAATAGAAAATCGTCAGCAACAGCCGGTGTTTCAACCTACATTAGACGAAGAAAATAATTGTGAAGAACGAGAACGTGCTTTAGAACGTCTTGACAATTTGTGTGAACAGGTATCACATAATCGCCGTGCACGTATAGTGAGAATGTGGCATGGCTGTCGATCAAGCATACTGCCAAATCTTTTGTCTGATAATAACCACCCCATAAGGTTTGTGGTCTCTGGTAATTATCTTGACTTGAAAATGAGTTGAGTAGTCAGTTTGAAATACATATTTATGTCGAGCTGATATAGGTTTAAATTCGACCTTGTGGGGTGCTTATCAGAGCACATTTAGCTATACAAATGCACCACAATTTAGGGGTACAGATAGATCACTGTCATTGTTTCTATTTCCTTGGAAATTTCTTTCTACTAATTTTCCTTCGTTAAGAAAAAGAAATAGAAATTTATTTTATTGTAATTAAAAGATTCTATCGGTAACTTAATTTATTGTTCGTTTATACATTGTTTACCCATGTATCAGAAAATTTCAGTGTTTTTTGTCTGATGGTTTCGCTGCACTAGGCACATTAGATGACGGCTGGTATGGTAAAGCAATGTACTTTACGTCTTCTGCAAAGTATGCTACACGTTACTGTGGTGAAAATGGCGGATGTCTGATCACGTGTTATATAGCACTGTTAAATCCATTTCCTGTCGTTTCACCTGATGCACCGCCGAGTCTATCGCCAACCCAATTTCGATTCTATGGTAAGGGAAATTACAAGAACTATCAATGCCATTATGTACCTGTTTCACCGGTCAGAGGAATAGGAGTAGACACGTGGGATTATCGGCCACCAACTACCGGTACGGATGATGCAATCTACGATGAACTAGCTGTGTTTCAAGAGACAAGTATACTTCCACAAGTTGTTGTACGATTTAAATAGATGGTTGATTATTGTCTGAATTATAAATGATTTCTGTAAATTCCGTCAAGTCAGTGTGAGCAATAGGTAGAATATGAATGAATGAGGTTTACAAGATTCCTTTCTGTTAAAACGTGAGGAATATTTCCTACATTTCTAGCAGAAATTGAAGCTTGAAACTGCTTTTCTGATGAGTTTCCACTTAAATTCATTTATAAACCCCTCTTATATTTCAACGGAAATCATTTTTATAATTATTGCTAATTAACTTTGTTTGTTCATTGTTCATTTCTCTTGAATTGCTGGAGACAAGAACTTACTAATTTGCCTTCGAAGAAGAGAGAGGGAAAAAGGTAATGCGTCTTTCTCACGCACTACCTTGGTGGTAATGTCCCACCAAGCCAATTGTGAATACGAAAGACGATAGTACGATGGATTGGGTATAGTGGCCAAATTCAGATTGGGCATCTTTTTTCTTTGGTAGTTATAGAAAAACAGTTCAGGAACGCGGGCAGTTTTTAATAGTTTTTGAAGCGATTTTGACTTTTTTGGTGAATCGGACCGAGGTAGGTTTTGACATATCCTCAAAGAACAACTATTTTTACAGGTATTTGAGTGCTTCGGAATGTTTCAAATGAATTCTGCTTCAAAACGACAAAGGAAACGTTTTTTCATTTTCAAACTTACCAATATTAACGAGTCGAATACGTTCTGTACATTCTAAAAAGTCTAACACAATAGAGATATTCTCTAATTTTTGTGAACGAAAATTTGGTCTTATAGTATACTTTGGTAATTTTTTACGTGATAATACTTCGGCGAGTGCGATTAGTTTTAAACCATCAGCTAAGTCAGTTTGTAAATCTTCAACTTGTGTATTAACTAATCTTAAATGTTTATTTATCCATTTCGTGGATGTATTCTGCTGAATTTTTTTCCATGGTGCATGGTCCGCTAATTCACGTTCCATGTCTTTATTAAATCCTTCTTCTGTTTTGTACATCAAGATTCGTCTTCTTCGGCAACTAATTTTTGATCATTATTATCATCACTATTATATTTGTTATCATGTTATTCTCGCTACTGTAGCCTTTCAACTGCTAATATATTTTCAAAATTATTTTTTCGTTGTATTCACGTCTTGAATCTTTTTTCTTCTAGTGCAATAATAAAAGGTTTGTTTTGTTTTTATCACGCACATGAAATGAAAGCAAATAGGAAGCAAAACACTCACAACTTATATATACACACACACTAAAACATGAAAAAGATAAGTTTATGGGTTTATTTTATTTTATTTGAGTAAAGAACAAATAAAACAATAAAATAGGACATAATAAAAATAATAAAAAGTTAAAAATATTAAAACTAAGAGTTAAAATTACAATTCAATATTTCGACCTATTAATACGGTCGAAACAACGAAGAGAAACTTGTAAATGACCGTATTAATAGGTCGAAATATTGAATTGTAATTTTAACTCTTAGTTTTAATATTTTTAATTTTTTATTATTTTTGAACTTTTATTAAAATTCTTAACATGATAGCTGCAATGGTTCATAAATTTTTATCTTTAACCTTCCCCATAAACTCAAAAAACGTTATTAAAAAAAACACTTTCGACACATCAGTTCTATATTCTTCTTACGATATTTGTTAATAGTATGATATACAATGCACGAAGCTCAGACATAAATTCACACTTTGAATAACAATCTGTCACTGTGGAATTGTCTAGCAGAACGTGCATATGCAGGCCAAATCTTTTAAATAACATATAAATATGTCTGTGTAGACTCCCAAAAAATATTTCACCCTCAATCTCGATGTAGACATGAATATTTTATTTTCCAAATACAAAACTAAAACTACTGTTAAAAGGAAATAAACTAATTTTTAATCTAACTACATCTTTGGACCTGCTGAAAGAAAAATTCATATAGGAAGCCAACTTAAATATCTCTGATGCAAGACCGACTCTAATCTAAATCATTGGACAACGGTAATGAGAAAACAGTTTCTCCATGAGAAAGATAATTTCTTTTGCCGAAAGTGAAAATATTTCTTTACATTTTAAAGTAAGTGCTCAATAGCTCAGTAATTTTAATCTTTGCTGGCGAATAGAACGGAATTCTTTGGCACACTCTCGATCACAGCTGAATTAGCAGATACGACTTTAGAATTATGCAGCGTACTGTAACTAAGCACTTACGCGATACAATAATTATCTTCACCCGGTTCTAACTGATACTTTAGTCCAGCTGCGCCCGAAAATATACTATTAATATCGGAAATTGCAATTCAGTAGTCAGTATTGCATTTCAGTGAATGTACTTGAGAGTGAATATTTGCTTACTTGCAAATTTCTGTGAGTACCTGACATGCATTATGGGAACTTCGCAAGTATTTTCCAAAAGTACTACTTGCTAAGCGCTTGTAGAAGTACTTACGAAAATTTGCAGGTAAACACATACTTAAGAAGTGTTTCCTGTACTTGGACAAGTACTTGTTTTCTTTTAGATGACTTGTTCTCGAGGAGCTAGCAGTTTTGCAAAGTGGGCCTTCGTCGTTTCTGAGGCAGTTTTCTGCATGCGTAATGTATCGTTCGTAAAATATACTGGTATGCATAGTGCAATTTAATTCTTGTAATTATACGTAATGCAATTTCCCTTTTGTATGGTAGAACAACTGGCTGGGATGGCTGAGTACTTTCGCTCATTACGAAATCAAATGTTGCGAAAAACTATTGGTTTGTCAAAATTTTCTATCCCAAACTTATAAATAATGAACATTGGATAACTAAATGTACTCTCTTGTATTCTGTTTGTTCCGAGGCTACAAAAACATTATAGCTTGACACACAATAATAATGCTTCAGTCGTCTCATAATTTATGTGAACTGATGGAAAGAGAGCACAACTTAGTCAGAGTATGAAATCTCCATACTTTTTAATAAAAGTATGACGACTGCACAGTCTCATAATTTGGTCTAAGATGAAGCGATTTTAAAAGAAGCAGGTTATGAAAGCCCCTTTATGTTTCCCTTATGGCTGAGAATTACAGAAACTGCACGGAGATCAAGGCTATTTCTGTTTATCCAATCACATAACTGGATGTGGAAGCAAGCATT